CTGTCGTCGTGAGACTGCTGAACAAAAAAAAAAGTTTGAGAAGCCATAAAATGTATGATGTGCCTTTATCAAGTGCTGTCTGTGTGTAGAAGGAGGGTTTGGATAGAAGCTTTGCTTTAAGGCTGTTCTTTAACTATAGTAATTAGCCTTTTGGTGCTTAGAGACTAAGCACAAAGTGAACCTTTCTAGATGTGGACGTACGTGTTCTGAATTACCCATGTGGCCTTATTGTATATTAAGTGCTGGCAGACGGAGACTAAACCAAAAAGAATTAAAAGAAATGGGTTTTACAAAACAGGATAAAAATATGCGACTCCCTTAAGAAGCGATATTGTGATATTATGTATTTGGCTTCAACTAGAAGAGAAGCCAAAATCTGTGAAGACATGGACGGATAAAATCTCCTTTTCCATTCAAGTCTGTTTCTGCTCATATTGAAGGTCAAAAGCTTTTTATGGGGCCAACAAAAGCATATCAATTTAACTTGACAAATTTTCTCTTTTCGCTTCTAAACTTTAAGTGACTAGATAAGAGGGTTAATAATATTGCTCTCAGGTAGCTATCTGCTTCAAAATGTTTTTCAGTTCTTTGTTTAACTCAACAAATGAAACCTAGCATACATGATGCTACTATCTATATACTCCTTATTGTTGTTTTTGTTTTTTAAAGATTTTTATTTAAGGTTAAAACCAACTTCCCAAGCTAGTACCCCAAATTAAATAGTGATTTGGCTAACTGTAGATTCTGTCAAGGGCATTGATCTCCTAACGCTCCCAACAAAGGTCAAAAGTTCAAGTTGACCGTTCTTCTTGGAATAAATGTATCTTTCATGTTTATTAAAAATTTAATAAAAACCTTTCAATTGAAGGATAGCCTCAAATCTCTAGTTTTGATACTTTGAATTGTTTTAGATAAAAAACTACGTTTAGCCTTACCGCTACTCCTAACCTGCTGAATTTAGAAAAATATTTAAAAAAAAAGAAAATATAACAGCACAGTCCCTCAGATTTTCAGGTAAAAGTCACTGTTCCAGACCTGAGAATCCAATATGGATGCTTTAAATTTAAAAACCCAAACTCACATCTGCAGCAGCAGTAATGGTTTGTATCTAACTATCTTCCATACAATGTTGTCGTAAACAAATTGCTACGGTGTATCTAGTAAAACTAGATAGGGAAGGAAATTGATAGCTTTGAGCTTGTTTTCCTTCTGATATTGAGATTTGGGGTATATAATAAAAGGAAAAAACAATTGTTTTTTTTTCTAAATTTTGAACTGGAACACAGTTAAGTTTGGATGTGATGGCTATGTTTAGAGATACAACAGACCACAGCACAAAACAGCCACAGCCTCTAGTTCATAGTTCACCTTTGTCTGCTTCAGTTTCTACTGGGAGTTCTCAATTTTGAACAACACTTCTCTTTTTGGAAACATTCTGCTGAAGCACAGATTGATGCATTTAATATTTACCTGTCAAATACTGTATACCAGCCTGAGTTCCACTAAAGGAAGCACTAATACTTAAGTTTGAGGGTCATCGGTCTCACACACTGAGTGTGTGTCTTAATCGGTTTGATCCTTAATTGTGCATCCTCTGCTAGGGCCCATTTCAAACTATTGCAGAGGGTCATGTTGGTAAATTGATGCCTGGTGGAAGGAAGGTCTAATAGGTCTGTTTATGGCAGCTCCCATACAACTATACACAACTTCAGGTTCCCATAGGTGGTGGCCAAAGCAAACACTTGTCTCATCAGCAACCCAGCAAGGACAATATCTTGCTGAATTCTGCAATTTCCGGTTCCGAATGACGCAGTCAGCATTAAATGCTATTCTTTTGTGCTTGACACATGAGAAACATGAAAAGAGTCAATGTTCAATATATAAACCTTCACAAATATCATTCATCTACTTGACAAGCAGCGCGCTGGTGCAAGATCAGTTAAATATCTTCTCGGAACATAATTGTGTTTGCATGACGGTAAATTTAATTTGAGAATAGGTTTCTGTTTGGGACATCATGGAATATGATCTGTGTTTTCATGCTTAACTACATGTTGTGATAAAAGCAGAATGGCACCCTTATGGAAAATACAGACAGTTCTAGTTGGGAAAAAACTAAATGAGATCTGATCTCTGCAAAAAACGACAACAAAACATTCAGTGTGACAAACAAGGTAAATATTTGTGTTCACATGCTTGTTTAAGTTTGATCCATTAAACACGATAGTAAAATTGTGATTTCTTTTGCATGTTTTTGTTTGTTTTTAAACTATCATGCGAAATTTACACATTATGTGACAAGCGGCAAAAAAAACGTTTTTATTGTGATTTTTTATCAATTAAAACCAATACCTAAATGTTAAGTGGAAGGAAAATAGCCAACAAAAGTTTAATCCGCTTTTGTTTTCAAATAAAGATTGTAGATATATATTCATTTAATTAAATCTGACATCCCTAAATAGAATCCAGGACGAGGAGCATTCATAAGTTTCCTAATTGAACACATCTATTTGTGTGTAACTGAATCTCAGAGATCAGTTAGAGAGCATTGCTCAGCAAACACCATCAACAAAGCCATGGTACACAGCAGACCGGTTAGGGATGAAGCTGGGGAAAGTTTAACAATAATAATTTAACTTTACTGATCTTTCACTGGAGAGAGAAAGACCTCTGCATTCAACCCATCCCCTTTGGAAAGCAATTCAATTCAGTTTATTTCTATAGCGCCAATTCACAACACGTCATCCCAAGGCACTTTGCATTTCACCAGATCATCCAGTCAAATTGATTCAAAGTTTTCTATCTAAGGAAAACCAGTTGATTGCATCCTCTTGCATCCCACTTGCATCACACTATGCATGCTTGTAGCAACAGTGGAGAGGAAAAACTCCCTTTTAACAGGAAGAAACCTCCTCCACTGTGCAGTGCCCGGAGAGTAGTGTGGGGTGAAGGGTAATGCTCAGGAACTTAGAGTGGAGGCAATGGGGATTGAGCCGGATACTTGCAATCTTCTCAGAGCACAAGCACACTGCTCTAACTACTGGTCCAACACTCTTGTGCGGATATATATCTCTTTGGTTTCTCACAGAGGATGGTTTCATTTACTATCCAGAAACGGAAAGAAAACAATAACACTTCAGTTGAAAATCTGGCTTAAAGGCAAAATTTAGGATGGAGGAAATCTAACATAATACATTGTGTGCTTTGGCTGCCATCTAGTGGTGCAGTTTTGAAACGACTCCTCTGACGTTCTAAGTGTAAGTGAACCTTTCAAGAAAAATGTCAATTTACTTTTAAAGCAAATGAACAGAAATGATAGAAATTACTTGAAGATTATCTATATATGTATATAAATTACATGTTGTGCATTCATTATGTTTTCCTATTATGTGGGCAGCACAAATCCTCTTCACTCCTCCTATCATATATATTAATTCCTATAATAAATAACCACCCAAATAGATTAACAAGATATTGTTCTACTGTAAGTTTAAAGCTAAAAGGCATCAGCTTAATGTGATAAAGACTGCCTCTAACCGCTTTTGTTAATCAGCTTATTACATTAAACTGCATGCTTTTTGCAGCTGAATTAGGCTTCTCTATAATTTTCTCTATGGTTCCCACAAGGACAGATGCAAAGAGCAATTAACAAAGCAGAGGTGAATCCAGTTGATTACCACTTAGAACATTAAGATAAGTGCAGATGTTGAATGGCGCAGGTCTTGAACTACTATTAGTTAACCAGGGAACTACATATCCATAGGCCATACTCAATCTAACATGTATGTATGAGTCCCTATGAAGAAATGAGGAGATTCCAAATGCTGAAAATATGCTGGTGAAGATTCCCAGTCATCCAGGTCATAGTCATTCCAAAAAAGTAAAAAAACAATCCATTGGACTTTGTTTCCAAGTTTGATGTTTCGTTTCCCATTTTTTCAATTCAAAATGTCAGACCTAGTGTTGGGCTGCTATATAAAGCTTCAAACCCAAAGCTAATTATGTCATTTTGAATTGAAAAAGCTTCCTGGAAGCAAAACGTCTTCAAACTTGGAAACAAAGTCTGGTGCATTGCTTTTTAACTAGTGCTGAAAAAGGTAGTAGATGGAAAAGAATTAACTTGGTTTTTTTTTTTTTTTATTGAAAGAAAAAAAGAAAAGTGTAAAAAAAACAACTGTGGGGAAACACTGTGAGTGTATAACAAGAATGGTCCAGGCATGGCCGAATGGCACAGACATTTAGAGGTTTTCCATCAGTGAGAGGACAAGGTGACCTTGGCTAAAAAAGGTGTTTTAGAATGTGGCATACAAGTCATGATAAAGCTTCCAATTAGGCTTTTCATCTTAGTTTATAACAGTGTTCTGACAAACATTTAAATAATGTGTTTGATGGTTTATAAGTGTGTTCTAATTTCCAAACACTATATCATAGTAAACAACCTGGAACAATTATGTCATTGCCTGACAGAAGGAATAGTTCTTGAACTTTATCAGTTAAATAAATCCTACTGCAGAGCCTGGACAACAGGATATGCTGCTTTGGTTCCCCGCAGATTCGCTGCCCTACTTTACACTTTCTTCTGTACTCAATGGTGTTCGCCCTCTTTGCATTAACAATAAATCTATACTCTTGTGGTGTTTTATTGAAAAAGCCAGTGAAAGGGAGCTTACAGTACAAGCAGACAATCTGATTTGATTGAAAAACTCTGCAAATCCCTCCCTGGCCTAAGCATTCAATCTCACATCATCAGAGGCACACAGTCCCTGCATAAACCCCCTTCTTAATCCCAAAGCCTTTTTTATTTTATGGTCAGTGTGCCACTGGTTTGCACAAATCCCTTTCCCCCCCACACACGCCCTGCCCCCACCTATCTGTGCGTCTGAAAGGATGAGTCTGAGGTCAGGCACAGCTGGCATCATCATCCTGTAACTTTTTTTTCTGCTCCGGGCACATTTGAAAACGCGCAGAGATAAAGAGGCAGCAGGACAAGGTTGGAAGGACCTTAAACATCCTGGAGGTATACGACTCCTTTGGTAATAGAGGATGAAGGGCTTCTATTTTGGGGATAAGCTCTGCACCGGAGTCCTGGAAAAAAAGACATCTTGATCATCCTTCACAAGCAATGCATGATTGTGCAACTTACAACGATGAAACTGCAAAAGGAGGCAAATAGAATGGAACAATAAGAAGAACAACACTTTTTTTTTTCTTGCATCAATGATACTCTCTACATTTCAAATAATATGACTGAGTGGAACCAATACAATATCAAAGTCCTCTGGTAAAAAGATTACAAGCCTAAAAAGTTTCCCATCCTCTCCCCTCTCTCCATCCTCTGCATCTGAGAATCAGGACTTCTGTGGAAGAGACCCAGAGGAGCCCCTCTCCCACCTGGCCAACAAGCTTCTCGGCGCCTTTTGGGCACATTTATATAACTGTAAGACGGATAATCAGCAGCCTCAAACGATGTGTCTATAAACAGAGCAACATTAAGGAGATAAAAAGCATAAAGCGCGCTCTCGGTGAAGCTCAGCATCAGCACCAGCAATCCGAAGCGCGTCCCCGCCCCGGTAGAGGCTGCCCGAGATCCCGGGAAGAGGAGTTGGAGCTGTGCGAGTTAAAGTTGGGCTAAAAAAGGGGGGTGAGAGGATGCTGCAGAGGAATCTACGATCCAATTAACACAGCCTATGTGAAGAAACGTCTTTCTAAGTGAAGGATGACTTGCAAAATATTGAGCATATGCCTCTTATTTTTGGGTTTTCAACATTGCTCATCACGTAAGTCTTGTGAAAAAGAAATTATTCATGTTTTATATCTTATTAGTGCATAAGTAATTTGCATTTTTTTTTTTATTTTGTTACCTAAAATCGGCTTTATGTTTGGCTGGTGTAAATTGAAAAGTTAAGGATTGCATCCAGTTGGATGACAGTTGGAAAATAGCCTAATGGAGGGCAGAGCCTGAAATGTTGGGATGTTTGAAGGGCAACAAAGATTGCGGTCAAACCAGACATTGTGCAAAAATAAAAATGCAAAACATTGTTGATTTTGATTTTAGCGGCTCGTTCGACTGCTGCTATTTTAAAGGCGTCGGTGTGGAAAATAATACATAAAAAAAAGTGCAGAGGCAAAGCGCGTCTGTCCTGCAGAGGGTGCGCATGGTGGTCCCTCTCCTGCACAGGACTGTCTGCATTGCAGTGCTTTCTCTCAGGCAGCACGCAAGTTATTTTGCAGCGTGCCGCACATCTTTACTTTAACGAGGAGCGGCTCTACCTGTGCTTATACTAGAAGATAACATCTCCACATTTATTTAGAGGTTTATCGGAATCTTGCTGGAAATCTGCTAAACAGATTAAGATGGTGATGATGGAGAGAGCAGAGCTCAGTCCTTATAGGACCAGCCCACTGCAGTACTTTTTTGGGAAGCTGCATCCAAATTACCTGGATATAAGGTGCTTGCACCTGCATGGGATAATCGTTGCAAAGCATTTAGCGAGACAGAGGTAGTCATTTTTTTTGTTGTTGTTGATGAGACCAAAAAGATTCGTCATGGATCCATCAGAGCTTCAGGGCATACTGATAAGCTGCCTTTCTGATGTGCGGCTATGACCTCACATGGTCTTAACTGACTCATCAGTTTAGGAATGCAGCATGAAAGAGCAAGAGTTGTAAAATTAAAGATGCTGAATGTGGAAAATGGCTTTAAATATGGTTAAAAATGTTTTATTTTACCCCGGTTCAGATGTATTCATGTTCTTATGAAAAAATACAATGTATTTCTTAAACAAAAATGTTGAGAAATTATAAAAACGTTAGCATATAATCTAATCTAATCTGATGCAGGCTGCTATGTTCTTGTTAAACTTAGATGGTACACCCTGATGATACCCCAATAGAACAGTAAAAACTAGCCTTTAACCAGCTGAATTCTGATTAATCACTAATGCATCCAGGAATTTGATGCCTCCATGTCTGCCTTATAAAGGCATGTGGAAGTAATGCATTACATTATTATAGGCTATATTGGTTTTGTAGACATGCATTGTGCTGTGTCAGACTGAAATGTGATGTGATATGCGATCCTAAAGCTTAGGACCCAGTTTTGGGGTGGGGCTGCAAAGATTTTTGCAAATGCTTTGCAAAGATCTGATTGAAGATTTGTTGTGCTAGCAACACAAGCCACAGTAAGATAATATATCTGAATGATAAGCTATTTCGTTACATATTCTACTTAGTTTTAGAAAAACTTTGGCCAATTCTGACTGATAATTGCACAGGTCGTAGTTTTATGTCGCAGGCAGTATTCTGACACACCCTCCTGTGAAGTCTGGCTCAGTATGAATTATTTAGTCAAACCACATTCACTGAATTCTTTATATTAGGTATTTCTTTTGACATTTCTTTTTTTTATATATTATTTGAATTCCACAGATCTGTTGCACCCAGTGTTGCTCCTCAGCAGCCTGCCAGGTTGCAACTTTAACATGTGTTGCATATTAAATGCAATACTCAGAAATTATGTCTCAGCGGAGACAGAGCAGTCTGTATCTTAGAATCAGACTGGTGATTCAGCTGCATCTGTACTGTGCTCCCAAGAGTTTCATTATTCTTCACAGAACCTTTATTCATGCAATGCATGTTGTTTAGTAATAAAAAGGAAGCAAGTTGCAAAGTCATTTAAAACATCCTAAGATTCCATTCAGGCTTTAAGTATGGTACACATAAATTGCTGCATCACAACAACATCATCTTGGCAGGAAAGAGGCAGCAAAGCAGAGAATTCAAATTCAACACAAAAAAAATGCTTGACATGCAAGGTTATTTTTAGCATTCCGGTGAAGATAAAGAAAGAGGAGTGAGAGCAAGCAAAAAAGGAAATTGGACACTGACTGGGTGGAGGTGCAGACTGCATGTCAAGCTGAATAACCAGACTGAACATGCTGCAGTCTACTTTTTTATTTCTGAAGTGAAACTCCTTCACCTTCATGCATCACAGGAAATTAAAGTGAATCAATTGGAAAGAAAAGAAAAGAAAGTGTGACTGCACCCCAGAGCTTCTTAATATTGCAGTGACATAGAGCAAGTTGCAGAAATGGGACGATGCAGTGATAGAAAAATGAATCTCTTATTGATCACTGGCAGCATAGGAGGGATGAATGCACGAAGGAAAGAGAAGGTCATTTGAGACACAGGTCACATGACCTCAGAACGTGTCTTCCACCTGAATGTGCAGCATGTTCACTTATAGAAGGTGACACAAGTATGACTTGGGTGGAAACATTAAATCCTAAAATATGCAGCACAGAAAAGGCTGTGTTTAAGGCCTGGTGTATATGTCACATTGCTGCAGTGGCTCAGAATCAAATCACTTTGCTTTCTCATGTTTCTTTCTGAGGATCTGCACTAATTAAAGTACTCTGCTCCACTGCATTATTCTGTGATGTGACACTACATATTTGTTTTTTTCATTAGCAGACTCCATAGTTCTGCCAATATCCCGAGTCTCTGCCACTGCTCTGGTTGCTCTTTTCATGGCCTATAGCATAACAGCAACCTACAAGATAAAGGATCTTCTTTTTCCAGTTAGCAAACTGAATTAAAAGGAAAAATACCTTTAAGTAAAACCTTTAAATTATTACTCTATTTGTATTATATCTCCTGGGAGCATAAAACAACAATATTCTGGCGCTTAAAATGGCAGTTTTTCTGCTGCTATTGAGGATAAAGGAATCAGATATTTCTTGCCTTATGCGACCGAAGAAATATTTGACAGAATTATGGTCACTTTATTAGCCTTGGGCCGGAGAGCAGACTGGTGACAGTCCTATCAGTCTCATAACAGCGTGCAGGGCAAATTACTGTGAGATGGTGTTCTCAGTTTTAGTATGACTTTCTAACTCAAGTCTTATCTTAAAATACAATGAACACAGATATATAAGTAAAGCTCTTTTGCTTTATTCTTACCTGTTGGTAAACCACACAAAGTAAGATGCTCATCTGTCTTTAAAAACAGTCTGCAAATGCATTGGAGAGTTAAGTTTTTGTCGTTTCTAGTTTGTTAGTAACATTGTAGAAATAAAGATGTAAGGCAGGCTGTTTCTCTCATGAGATCCTAGAGCAGTCTGGTTGATTTATGATCTCTGCTCCACCTGCTCGTGATCCTGTGCTTTATTGTGAAGCATCATTTCACACAGCCTAAAACGACCACCTGTTAAAGTCGAACTCAGGCTATTTACAAAAGCAATCCTTCCTTTGAATTTCAGTACAGCATAATAAGAATTCATCTTTGCTGCCTCCTGACTTTGGTGTCATCCGTTTGCTACCTGCAGGAGAATGTGTTGATCCACTAATCTCTGGGCTCTACGCCTCTTCATTCCTGGCCTCTTCAAGATATAACTTCCTGTACTCTGCCAATTTTGCCAAACTCTATGGTAAGTACTTATTAATCACCTGCATGTTATACCTACACTTGCTGTTCATGTAAATCAGGGATGTCAAACTGGTTCCGGAAAGGGCCGTGTGGCTGCAGGTTTTCTTTCCAAACAAGCAATAGCACACCAGACTCCATTCATCTCATCAAGTGAGTCCAGTCTTAACATGATGACTTGATGAGATTATTGCTTGGTTGGAAAGAAAACCTGCAAAAACACAAACCTTTCTGGAATCAGTTTGACACCCCTGACCTAAATCATTGCAAACTCAATATAAGCTGAAAGAAGCAGTGTTGTTTTGTCTTTCTGATACTAATTTTAATCTACTTTTTTGTAGGATTTACAGCACAGCTGTTCTTGAATTGTTATACCAAAACAGGATTTAGGCATTATTTTGTTGTTACCTCTTTTAAGCATGTCAGTTAATTTAGCTTTTGTTAATTCAAGAATTTTTGCTATAACAATAAAAAAATTAATAAAAACATTTCTTGATTTCCATCAAAAAACTGTTTTACATTCATCTACATATAAAGAATCCTCTTTACAGGCCTAATCTGGGAGGCACCAAATGGTTGAACATCTGGACGGTTATGGAGATAAATAAAGGCTCAAAATTAGTCATTATATTAATGATGTGTAGGTTTTTCTCATCAGTGCCAATCAATCTGTTGGATTAAAGAATATAATCTAATATGTTGTGTTTAAAGCAGCTGGACAGAAACCAAGTTCATTTCTTTGTGACAAAAATATGTTATTAAGGAGTGAATCTTAGATTAATGCAGTAACACAGAAAATGATAGTAAACATGAGATATACTTAATTAGAAAATACAACAAATAGTTTTAGTTCAGCTTAATTACATTTCTTTTTAATTAAAGCAGTAGTTCACAGCAAATGAAAAAGTTTTCTAGGCAACAAGGTCCAAATCATGTTCCGTCATATAGAATCCAGTTTGGTGCAAATTCAATCAAATCAATCTGGTTCATAGCCAAATGATCCAATCATGATGTCAGGTTCAGATCAAATTCCTTACAGTCACATTTTGTTTCCTTCAGTTGATCAGATTACAGAGCAATTCGCAATTCGGAGTACTGCTTTTGGAACAGATAAACAAACAGAACCAGGACTCAATTATGGAGTCCAGGTAAGAAATACAGCAAAACACACAAAAAAAAAAACAGTCCCAGGAATATTTTCTGTGGTAAAAGAGTTGAACACACTAAAGATAATGCTTGAAATCCCTTTATTATGATGGTGACAGGACTTTAAAGCACAGACGGACTGAGCCAAGTACAACTTATTTACCTGTCAAATCTTAATTATTTGTTAAAAACATGAATGCATAGTTATACAGATGCTTAACTTTACTGACAAGAAGCACATAAACTAAAAGAGATCATAGAAAACATGACAGATTGTGCTGTCTTCATTGTTTTTACATAGATAAGGAACAATATTGTGATAAAAGAATTGTTATTTCCTCCTGTCTTTTTTAATGTGGTCTGTTGGGAGCAATGCTGGCAAATCAGATCGCTGCTGACATGGCGGCTCTCAGATAGTGCTTCTTGATGCATGTAGACTCCAGTCTTGCATTAAAAGAAAGATAATATTAATTTATGCATCTATGTGTTTAAATCTTAAAAAAAAACATGTATGTCCAAACCAAGACACTGCAACAAGAAATTTCTTTTGGATATTATTATTTTTTTTAAATAAAATAGCGTTTCAATGATATTTGAAGGTCAACTCTTTAATATTCTAGACACTATAGACAGGATATCTTAAAATGTCACTTTCTTCTCTGTGCCACAGGCAGCAGCGGCTGGTCCCCATCCCCCAGAGACAGACAGCCATGGCTGCAGGTGGATCTGGGCAGAAAGTACCGTCTGGTGGCGATAGCAACCCAGGGGACCTTTAATTCTTATGACTGGGTCTCCAAGTACACACTTCTCTATGGAGACAGACCAGACTCCTGGACACCATACATCATGAAAGGAGGAAACTCAGTATGTTTTATAGGCCACAGCAGCAGGGGTGGGATAAGAGACAAAACATAGCTTATCTAAGGATTGAGCAGTTATAATAACATAAACACAATCTTTATAGCCGATTTAGGATATTTTAGGGATGCTTTGTTATATTTATTGCATCTTGGGCTGAGACAAAGTCGGCACAACTTATCATTTATCTCCATAGTGACAAAGCCAATCTTATTCTCCTTTCATCTCTTCAAATAGGGTATTAACACCATAGCAGGGACTCAATGATTCTCAATGCTTTTCTTATCTCATCTGTTTCCAGACAATGCCTGGTAACTGGAATTATTATCAGGTGAAGAGAAATGTCTTCCATTATGCCTTTACTGCTAAACACATCCGTCTGCTGCCTCTGGAGTGGAACACAGAGAATGGAGGAAAGATTGGTGTGAGACTGGAGCTCTATGGCTGCGCATATGGTAAAGACTGGCGATGAATGGGAAGGATTTACCACAGAAATCCACAACCTCTAATAACAGCTATTTGTTATCATATTACTTCTATATCAGGACAGATAAACCAGAAATAAGAAGCACACTGTATCTCAATGTAATTCTTCTGATCTAGTTTGCAATATCTCCTTGCTTTTAGATTCCTATGTGCTGCAATATAACGGAGATGACGCAGTGGTCTACACGTATCCAGGAAAAAGGTCACGTACTCTGCAAGACCACATCGCCATCAATTTTAAAACCCTGGAGCAGGATGGTCTGCTTTTACATAGCGAGGGGATTCAAGGAGACCTCTTCACCCTTGAGCTAAAGAAAGGCCGTCTCTATCTGCACATCAGCCTTGGTGAGATATAAGAGAGAATTTAAACTTTCTGATTGAATTTCTTCATAGTGCGCAGAAAAGCTATTACAAGTCCAAACAAAGCTATGGAAATAAAATGAAACTAACGTAATAGCCCCTACAGAAAGCAGTATAGATAGTTTTCTTTTAGCTTTATTTTTCTAACTGATGGTTTATGTTTTAAAAGCCTTCTTCAATTTTCCATTTGTTTCTCAGGAAGTAGTGTTATACACAAAGTCGATGGCCGAATCACTTTGAGTGCAGGAAGTCTTCTTGATAATCTGCACTGGCATTATGTGACTATCAAGCGCTACGGCCGACAGGTGAACTTCACAGTGGACAGTCAGACAGTGACAGCTATCTGCAAGGGAGAATTTACTCATCTGGATCTGGATAATCAGGTACTCCAAAATCTAAAATTGTTTCAGGGTTGTTTGGAGATGTGTTTCAAGTTGAAACCGCTGGGTAATTCTCCTTTAGATGTACGTTGGAGGAGTAATAGAGCCGAACCTGCCTCACCTTCCTACCATACCAAATTTCCGTGGGTGTCTGGAAAATGTCTTTATCAATGGCATTAATGTTATTGACAAGGCCAAGAGAGAAGACCCTGATATTCGTATTCCCCGAAAGGTAAATCTTTGTATCAATACATTGTTTAAAGACATTTGATATCAACTAATGTGGTTTAATTTCTCTAAAGAAAAAGATGCATTTTGCCTGCCGTGACATTCTTCTGAGACCAATGACGTTCGCCGGACCCAACAACTTCCTGCAAGTCCCGGGGTTCTTTGGAAGACCAAAGTTGTTTGTGAAGTTTAAGTTTCGCTCATGGGACTACACTGGGCTGCTGATGTTCACACGCTTTGCTGATAACCTGGGTGCCCTTGAGCTGGGTTTGAGTGAGGGTCAGATCAATGTCACCATTTTCCAGACTGGAAAGAAGAAAATTCAGTTTGGTGCAGGTAGATTTTCAGGATTTCTTACATGTTTTAAACTTGTTTCAGCTTCACATCATCCACATTCTAAATAGGCACTGCAGTCTTTTGACATCCTGGGTTTGTCTTCCCCAGGTTACAGGCTTAATGACGGTTACTGGCACACTGTAGACCTGGCGGCCAGAGACAACCTATTGACCCTCACCATTGATGAGGAGGAGGGCTCACCACTGAAGATCACCAACCCTTTCAGCATTCGCACGGGGGATCGCTACTTTTTTGGGGGTAAGTTGATTACTTTAACACCTGCAAATCCTTACACTATCCCGATTGTTTGCTTTTATTGCCACACTACCTTTCTTTTTATGTGTTCAGGTTGTCCCAAAACCAATAACACAATATTAAAGTGTGAGACCAAACTGAATCGCTTTCACGGCTGCATGCAGCATATATTTATAGACAACGAACAGCTTGATATCGACATTACTCTGCAGCGACAGTGGGCTCGATATGAGGAGCTGTTGATAGGAACCTGTGGGATCACTGACAGGTAATAAATCACTCACTGAGGACTTAAATAGTGGCATAACAGTTGGTGACATTTAGCTTTAATTTAATATCCTCCAGAGCGTTTGAGCCATTTCACACTATCAAAGCATCGTAAATGAACACAATGTTTTAAGAATGAACTAGTTTCCATCAATGAGCAATTAAAAAAAGCAAACATGCAAGACTTGTAAATAATTATCAAGAAACCCATTCAGTTTGTAATTCTGAAAATACAAACATCAGTTTCCTTATTAGTCTTTAAAAATTAACTTACTAATGATGTAATAAGGACAAAAAGACACACAACTTAGCAATCTTACAAACAAAGATCCTAACCAAACTCCCTTCTTTACAAAGACTTAGTAGAACTTATAAACCTCTTGTCTTTTTGTTGCCTCCCTTTAAGTTTATGTTCTGCTCTTAAAGGTATAGTATCTTTTGCTTTCATCCACAGATGTACTCCAAACCCATGTGAACATGAGGGCAGATGCATCCAGTCTTGGGATGACTTCATCTGCATTTGTGAAAATACAGGCTACAAAGGAGAAGTGTGTCACATGTGTGAGTGGTGTTCAATGGCATTTTATTATGATTTTGCACCTTATTTATGTATAATTTCTTCTTCATATAAACAAATTTTTTATTTCTGTCCAACAAAAGCGGTTTACAAAGAATCATGTGAGGCGTACAGACTGAGCGGCAAGTACTGGTCTGGAAATTACACCATTGACCCTGATCTCAGTGGGCCGCTAAAACCATTTGAGGTGTACTGCAAAATGAAGTGTGAGTAATCGCTGTTATTACTAAAATACAACTTTATCTACATTGTTTACAGTCTTTGTTAAAAAAAAATCTTACCAGTTAAGAAATAGGTGGAGGGAAATTTTATGGAAAATTAAAGAGATAGATGCAGTAATTTCTATTTGTTGATTAAAAACACTTTTCACCTCTAATATTTTAAGACTTTGAACTCCAGTATATTTTTCTTTCAAATATAAATCTTTGCAGCATATAAAGCTTGGACTGTGATTATGCACGATCGAGTGGAAGGCACCAAAGTGTCTGGAAGCTCGATAGACAATCCATATATTGGAGATGTGAACTACTGGAATGCTACGTGGGATGAAGTCAGTGCTCTCGCCAACACATCCATGTACTGTGAGCAGTGGATAGACTATTCCTGCTATAAGTCCCGTCTCCTCAACACCCCCAGTAAGTAAGATCTGTCTATATTCCTTTGCTTATGTTCAAACTCAATGTTAAAGATTTTATTGAAACATGGGCTTGTCTTTTAAAAATAAAAACAGATGGAAGGCCTTTTGGATACTGGATCGGTCGCAATAATGAGACTCACTATTACTGGGGTGGGACATTCAGAGAAGTCCAAAAATGTGGCTGTTCTATCAACCAAACTTGTGTTGACCCGAAGTTTCAGTGCAACTGCGATGCTGATTATAGGCAATGGTAAAAGATATCAACAAAACCTAAGCAGTTGAACTTGGGTTTCTTGTATCAAAGTTCTTATTATCCTTTGTGGTGTTTCAGGTACTCAGATAAAGGCTACTTGGACTTCAGAGACCACCTGCCTGTAAGGAGGGTGGTGATTGGGGACACCAACAGAACCGGTTCACAAGCACAGTTCACAGTTGGGCCACTCCGTTGTCACGGCGACAGTGAGTTTAATTTCTTAATATTTGCTTTGCTTAATGCTGTCCTTTTGAGAGAGAAAAGTAGATTTTAGACTTTCAGTAAAAAAAAAAAAAAAATTACCAACGACCATAAAAATAGTTGATGGCCAACAATCAAATTAAAACCATCATGTACCATTGGATGGCAACCAAGCTTGATCTTAATGTGTGTGTGTGGGGGGGTGGAGGTTGTTAACTGGGGCATTCGCTGAACAAAAAACCTCTACACCAATCACAGAAATCACACGACCTCAAATTTAACAATAAAGAAAATGTATATAAAAGGTATAGTGAAGGATTTTTGCGAAGTTTTTAAAATTCCTGCCCTCTCCATTTAAAAAAAAAAAGAACATGTACAACCCTGTACTAGTTCCCGAGAGGGAACGCCTATTAAACGTGTACAAGAGCGTGCACAAGCCCATTTCTCCTCGTTTTACAAGCAGTGATGTGAAATGGTTGTCTCCAAATAGCATACCAATCTTTACCCCTCTAGTAGAAACTTCGAAATGGACACATCAGTGGGAAGCCCAACCTGTGCTTTCAGTGTACACCATCCCATGAAAGAATCTCCTATAACACTATGGTCTTGTTTCTCTCCTCCTCTCTCCTCTTCTGATTCTGACAACATTTATTTATTAATTACATATTGGATATACTGTACTGTCCCAGAAGTCTCATTCGTAAGTGGTCTTATCGATGGTTTAATACATTTTCTGCTCATGGAAAGTTTTCCTCTGATCTCGTTATTATAAGTTTCAAGTTTCAAGTTTCAAGAATTTATTGTCATTGTCAAAAAAAGGCAACGAAATTGTGTTTGGGGTACAATACTAGTAGCAGCAAGTTCCAAGTAAAGTGCAGAAGAGGTAAAAGTGACACCAGTGCTTGCCCCCCCCCGCCCGCCCCCCCCCTCCATCCCACTTAAAGTGCAGCAAAGCAGAATAGAGACTTCATATCAGAATGGTCAGTGTTTGTTAGTAAATAATAAATGATGTCAATAGTAAAACAAGCTATAACTACTTTAGAAGGAGCTCTGTTTTAAGTGCTGTGTTGGGATTTCCTTTTGTTTAAATTCATTTTGTTTTCTACAGGAAATATCTGGAACACGATAGCCTTCACAAAACCCACCTACATCACCTTCCCCACGTTCAGGCCTGGATCAACAGCTGACATCTCCTTTCACTTTAAAACCTACCGTGCACCGGGTGTCTTCTTGGAAAACTCTGACGACCAGCTCAGAAACTTCATAAGAATCGAACTGAACAGTGCGTTGACCTCACCTGTCATCTTTCTATTTTCATAATTCTGTTTTTAAAACTTTTACCCCTCTCGTTTTTTTTCTTACAGCCACCCACAATCTTGTGTTTGTGTTTATGGTTGGAGATGGCATCCTTAATGTTACTCTTCGCTCGCCTGTGCCGCTCAATGACAACGAGTGGCATTTTGTTCAGGCTGAGATTAATGTGAAATTGGCTCGAATCAAGGTCGATTACCAGCCTTGGGCTGTCAGACGGTTTCCAGGTCAGACCTTTGTCACCATGCAGTTCACACATCCCATCCTTGTAGGTAGGTTTCTCAACCAGAACTTCCAAAATTCAGATTTAAAAAATGGGATGATCTGTTTATATTTTTCTACAATAGTTTTGTAAATGTTGGCCTATTTATCACTTCCACTAGGTGCAGCCAACCGCACCCTCAGACCTTTCTTGGGGTGCCTTCGAGGGTTACGTCTGAACGGTGTTCCTCTTGATTTAGAAGCAAAGGTAAATGAAGAACAGGGTATAAGGAGGAACTGCACTGGCCAGTGTCTTAATGCCACCATACCATGTCGAAACAGTGGGCAGTGCATTGAGGGATATGCTTCCTACACTTGCGATTGCAATAACACAGCTTTCGATGGTTTCTACTGTCACAAAGGTAATCCAGAGTTTATTTTTTCATGTTATGAATGTAGCAGGTATCTAATCACATATTAATCCTTTTTTTTTAAGACATTGGCGCCCACTTTGAGATTGGGTCTTGGCTGAGGTACAACATACGAAAGAAGCCCATTTCAGATGAGGCAGCCTGGGCAAATTGGATCGACCCACACTATGACAATTTTAGTCTGGGTTACAACGACACGGCTGATGACATAGAGTTCAGTTTCAGCACTGTTCACACTCCAGCTGTATTACTCTACATAAGTTCCTTCGTTCAAGACTACATTGCTGTGATACTCAAGAATGACGGTAGGTAAAGCATAGGAAACACCGCAATTGAGAATGATAAAGGCTTCCTTTGATTTTTTTTGGCTCTACGTTTATCCTATAAACATTTATGTTATTGCTACTCCTTTCACAGGTAGTGTAGATCTGAGGTACAAGCTGGGGCTCATAACACACAAGTACCAGCTGACTCACCGGAATCTGGCAGATGGATACCCGCACTATGTGAACATAACCAGACACAATCGAACCATCAAAACACAGGTTCTTAATTTCTTACATTACACAGTTTGAGGCATAGTTTGTGCTGATTTGACCTTTGCGACTTTTATTTTCTAAAGAATCCTATGCTTGAGAGATGTGGCTTTGCTGTCTCTGATCCATTTTGCAACCAATTGGTAGTTTAGGGCTTTTTCTTTTCAACCAATTTCTGCTTAAGTTATAACTTTCTGTCTGATTTATTGAGATATTGTTTTCAAATTACATATATCCTCTCATGATACCACCCATTTATTGATGTACACCACACACTTCACAACAGGGACAGTATTCTTCAGCTTGTTGAGTTCTTTATTTGATTGTTTACCCAAATATAAAAAAATCATTATGACCAAACACTTCCATTTTACTTCTATCAGACCTAAAGCAATGTCTTCAAACATTAGGCTTTAAATACCAGAATGCATTTGTGAGTTACAGTTCCAGTAGGGGCTGTTTGGTAGTTTTAATAGTGAAAAAAATGTGGAAATATATTGCATAATTTACTTTTTATAAGTATGATTTTTAGAAAAATAAAAGTTACATGTACCCACAGGTGGATTACATGGAACCCATTGTGGAGAAGATAACCCTTGTGGAAGATGCTAGGTTTGATTCTCCAAAGTCCATGTTCCTGGGCCGCGTAATGGGTAAACATATTGCTTACTGCTTATTAAACATATTCTCTTAATTTTTCTCACTGCCAGTTATTTAGGAATTATCTTGAAATAAACAAATGTTTCTTTGCTTGTGTCTTGTCTTGCAGAGGTTGGTGACATCGAGTATGAAATCCAAAAGCACAATGCTCCAGGATTCATTGGATGCATTTCTGGGGTCAGATACAACGTCTATGCGCCACTTAAAGCTTTATTCCGTCCAAATGAAACAGATCCCCCCGTAACGACACAAGGTTATGTCTCTGAGTCTAACTGTGGGGCTTTTCCTCCTGTCCTGGGTTATGTGCCTTGGGAAGTGGACCCATGGTTCACAGGCATAGGTGAGTTTTAAAACCTTCATTATGGATGTTTTTTGCTAATCAAAGAAACTTTTCTTACAGGTCAGTGACTTACTGCTTCTTTCTCTTATAGAATATTTTTATATCCATGATGATCTTGGCTTGATCTGGATAGGGGGTAAGTACTTACAAAAGTGTGGGAATATTTCTGATCAGACATTATTCTTACACAATGTCTGATCAGTTATATTGCCACTCAAAGCCACTCGTTGTCATTGAGCGGCAATATTTTGTATTGTTTTGTATCCCTTTGCTTTGCTTTATATCGGTTGATTCAATAGAAGCAGAATAGTCAGATTTACAGAAAAGCTTTAAAGGATTATTTAGGCATCTGGCTGCAGGACTGACTTTAACTAAAGGATTATAAAGCCAAACAAACAGTTGGAACAATTACTAACATTCAAAAACATCTATTTCTATAAGTTTAAAAATAAATGCATAGGCAGGAGTTATGCTGGCAGAAATAACTTGCTGTTTATAAAGGATAAAAAATTCAGACTTTTCAATAGCATATTAGTAGAGTATAAAATACTAGTATATCAAATTATTTTGTAACTCCAAATATATAATTTATTATTTAAAACTAAAACAATAATAATGAAATGATGAAAAGGTAAGATATTTTTTTTCAAATGTCGGACTGATCCACATAATCTGCTAGACATCATGTTTAATACTGATTCAAATAATCTGCAGATTCACGGAAGAACAGACGAATGGACAAATTAGAGCCTGTCTCCCTGTTGAGCAAATGAGGCTGAAGTCTCTGGATTAAAATGCTGCAGAAACAGCCCCTCTGCTCCTCCCTGTCTGAGACCTTCACCAGATCAGTCTATATTTAGTCTGCCAAGGGTGCAGCTTGCTGTTCATCTCTGAATACCTCATCTTAATAGATCACTTAGCCTGGGATATTATGCAAATGCAGGACATCAGCATTTCATAAAGAATTTGTTGCGCTGTCCCAACAGCAGGACAGCAGACATCTTTTGTGGGCTGATATACTGCTAGAGATAACAGCTGAATGAGGAATAACACCTGCCCTCTTTTCAAATATTGGAGACTAAATACAGTTTACTCTGTCACTTACCTGCTTAGCTGCTTTGACTCTCAATGATTTAAAAAATAAATTCCTATGATCTTTTCATGACCTATTCATCTCAAACCCCACCAAAAATATGTTGTTCAGGAGTCATAATGTGACATATCTCAAGTCAAGTCAAGTGAGGGTGGCGTTTTGACAGGACCCAAATGCAGACAGAAAAAGCTGAAGTGGTTTCTTGAAGGTTTAATAACAAAAGGGGTAGCAGAAGCAAAAACCCCAAAACACAAATCCAAAACTACTGAAAACCAGGAACACTCACAATAAGGGGGCAAAGAAATGATGGCAAACCAGCAAAGAGTGACTAAACAGGAGGAGAATAAATAGAAGAGAGAAACAAAGACCAGGCTAATTAGCAGATTGGGAGCAGGTGTGAACAGAGGCAAGAAGGGAGGTAGGGAAAAGGAGACTGACATAAGAAGGCAAACAATATCTAAGAACTAAAATACAATCAAAAATAACTACAGCACAAGAATGGAAATAAAACTTGAACAGAACCAAAACCATGACAAGGTCAATTAGGCTAACTGGGGTCAGAATAACAAGAAAGGCAAAGTATGTGGTTTCAAAATGGATAAAGGCTGGGACAAAAACGTCATTTAAATGCATACAACTGATCCACTGTTAGCTTTATATATCACATTAAAGTAAATTCAAACTATTTTCAGTATCACACCTACAGTAATTCAGCAATTTCATAAACTGAATAAGCAATAAATAATAAACCAAACTTCCCCTTTTTCCTTTAAAGCATCTTTCTTTTCTAATTGCTGTTTTTATTTTTCAGTTATTGCCCTCCTGGCCTTGCTGCTGCTCTTTGGAGGTCTGTACGCCATATATGTGTATGCATACCAGCAGAAGGGCAGTTACCACACCAATGAACCTAAAAATCTGGAGTCTCCAAGCAGCTCCAGGCCACTGACCGAGACCCTGAGGAGAGAAAAAAAGCATCTACCGGAAATTGAAGAGGAATTCCGGAGTGGCTAACATCACAGGACTCTTGGGACACTGGGTGGGGGTTAGGATGGGTTTGGATAAGGGGAACTAGCACTTACAGAAACCACAGATACCTGTAGTAAGTTTTCTAATTGTTTGGTTTTCTTTTTTAAGTTCAGTTTTGTGTTTTGTTCGACGGGTGAGCGTCATAAAACACACCTGGTGCTCTGTTTTACACAGTCCTTGTTTTAGTGAGGTCAAAGCTGAAATCAAGCCCCATGTTGCATGAGTAGCCAACAAGTCTCACGCTGTATTACAGGGTGAAATACTGAAGTGCCTCATCTGAGCAAGCATAATCTGAACACATTCTAGATTCACCAGAGAGTGAATAAGACACTGTGGGTAGAAAAGCAGGATATATTCCAGCTTTTATTGATGATTTCCTTTCTGAGCCATTTATGAGACAGATGAAATTCATCAATAGCTTTCTATATAGTGATTGCTATCTGAATTATACCTTTTATAGACGTTATCAGATGAGCCAATTCTGAACTTTAGATTGTTAACAATCCTGGATATTGACAGATTATTAAAAGTGAGCTGCAAGCATCCGAATCTTAGTAAGAAAAATTGTGTTTATGAACTTAATCCATCTTGTAAAATGTATATCTGCTTCTACTTGTTGTATAGCAGTCTATAACAACAAATTATCTATACAGAATGGCACTTTTAAGTGGATCAGATTTGCCATAGAATTGCTAGATTGCCGCTTTGTTGAGTAGCCTGCTCAGATTCACAACACATGGTGATGTGGAGTGAGAATTTGAAGAAAAAGTACCTCAGACCTTTAGAGATGTGGACGGTGTGACACAGGTGTCAACAGGAAAAAAAACAGTTATTTTGGGGAAGAGTGACCTAAAATGTCCATTCCTTCGCTTACTTCTGGTCACTTTCAATATGGTCAAGCTGTCAGCAGCTTGGTGCTACAGTGTTTGACAGACAGCTCTACTGACAGTGTTAAAAATGCTAATATACAAACAAATCTTCCCTTCCATGATCCTTCCTTTTAAACGACTAATTTCAGGGAACAGCTGCTCTCTATTGCCATATAGGAAACACACACAAAACAACAATTTTACCAAGGACCACAATAACACAGTCTAAGCCTATTTTTTTTATACATCAGACACTGCAAGAAAATGTTTGCTTCACAGTGTAGCTGATCACAGTCATTGCTGCTACTGCTTAGTTTGCTGCTTTCATAAAAAACAAACAAAAAAGTAACTTTAGTCCAAATAAATGTTGATAGGAAGAACTTTAGTTGACTTGTGATGCAACCAAAGCATAGCGCCACCATCCTCCCATGCAGCTCCCACCAATAAAGCACTATTGTGTTTGTGAAGTAAACAGTTTAAAAAAGGTGTACATTCTAGCTATGCATAGGTAGAGCATGAACGCACTTTGCAGTAACATGCAATAATATAAGCTTCTTCCAGTCACTTGCACTGTTTATTTGGATTTGCAGATGTTGCATAGCGACTAGGAGGTCATGAAAAGTCTATATGTGAACCTTTAATAATCCACTGGATGACTTTTTTTTTTACTGCTAGAGTTTATACACTTTAAGCTTTGGAGTGCTCTGAATGTAAATCCTTTGACTCTGCAATGTATAAGCAGACACTACAGTGAAGGCTTGCACTGATTTTTTTATTGACTGCTTATTCTGAAAGTATCATGTAGATTGCTCAGGTTAAAGGAAGCACAGTGCTCTGCTGTCTGTAGAGCTAATACACCTCCACCACAACACAATAGTGATGGCTTTCTTCCATTACAGAAAAGCAGAGCTGTGCTAAATTATACAGGGAGTGAATGTACAGTAGATGTACAAAAAATATATATACTGCAATTACTGTACAGTAAAGAAACAACTTGCCAATAATGTAAGAAGCTGTATAGAACTGAGAGCGTGCATTTGCAAGCTATATTTTTGAGAAATGTTGTAATGCAGCGACTGAAAGTGAAGACTGAGCATCTGAAATGAAACTGTGGAATGTCTTTGATGCAAAGAATGATTTGTGTTTTTGTTACCTGGACAATCCCCACTGAAAGTTTAAATGTGTGATAAACTTAGATCACTTGTGCTTTGCTGCCTAAGTTAAGTTAAAGCGGCTGTCTTGCTTATAAGTAAACATTTCACCAAATTCATTGCTAAATGGACATCCACTTTTGCAGTGTTGCATTATTTTCACCTCACAACATATATCATGTGGTCCCTGGAGTGTGTGTGTAAGAAAAAGTGAGAGACTGGACCTTTTTGATGTTTGTGTATCTGCAGGTTGAGAACCAAGATGTAAAAAAATCTGCAAATATACTAACAGTCAAACGCTAATTGTAATTCTGCAGGGTTTTGTCTAAGGATGAGGTCATGAGGGTGTTGAGGGTTACAGTAAAATGGTCAGTAGAGGGAGCTATTTAACAGTATGTCAGGACTGACGAGGTATCTGCATAATGCTTAAAACATAAGACTGACTTTTTTAATGCATCTTGGAGTTTTATCAATTAACTTAACTTTAAAATACTAACAGAAATAAAATCATATTCAAAGAGGTCTAAAGTGGAGGGTTCAGAACTGGAAACCCTGTCAGTCCTGCTTTGTTTGAGACCAGATAAAAAAGGCACCAAAGCAAGTAGGGGGCATGATAAGACTAGCTCCGATTTCTCTGCACCACCAAACAAAAGCTTTCTGCAACGAGTATCAAACGTTTGGTTTTCTGTTGTTCCTCAGCTTTGTTTTGTAATGATTTCACTGTAAATGACCATTACTGTGTAAATTAAAGCAAACTGTCATCTGAATAAAAGGAAAAAAATATATATATGCTTCTTTTGTTATTTTAATTTCTCACTGGACACAATAAACAGACAATAAGCAATGAAACAGCCAACAAATACGAGGTATAAAGTTAAAATTTTATTTTTATAGGCATCCACTGTACACAGTATTGACTTACATGTTTAACTCTTCTTGGGGAGGCCTCTTTTTTAAAATGATGTATATTTTTATGGTTTCAGAAAGAAGTTTACAGTGCTTTGCAAATTGATTTGCACTCCTTGGTTTTTATTTTAACATAATTTAACAGTAATTTATTTTACAGTTACAGACCTACACAAAGTGGTGCACAACCTTATAAAGTAGAAGGAAAAAGATAGATGGGTGTTCAAATTTTCAACTAATTAAAAAAAAGGAAATTGTGGTATTCATACAGTTTCTACCTTTTCAAAACAGTTATGCAAAATGAGAACAACAATTAAACACACCACGTTCTAGGAAACCAACATAACGCATCTCCTTTCAGTACCCACACTGCAAAAGATGGCATTGCAATCATTAAGCTGTGGGGATCTTTTGCTTTGGCTGTGACAAAGAAAGTCATTAGAGTTAATGAGAAGATCTAAAATACTGACTAAGACTGATTTCCAGCAGAGTGGTTTTTTTTTCATACCACTCTGCTGGTATGAAAAACCCAAGACAAAGGTATTTTTGAACAACAGTTTAAAGTGGTAATTTAAGCAATGAAAGGTAGGGCTGTAAACATATCATTGGACAACATTTCATATATATATATATATATATATATATATATATATATATATATATATATATATATATATATATATATATAAAAACATAAAACTCAGATTTTAACGTATTGTGATCATGTTGAATTGGAGTGAAAACCTTTGCAAGGCACTGTATTATTGTTGCTTTCCTTTTTAAAAACAATGGTAGAATATAAACTACTTTTACATGGGTGTGTCTTAAATGTGTAGAATAACACTGGTGATTTACGTTTTACATCGCTTCACAACCTTTCTCTGCTATTATACAACATTTCACATGCAAATCTTTTAGCTTTACGATTTAGAATATTTTGGCACTTTTTTTATGTTTAAAGGAAGACACTTACTTTCACTATATTATTTTATTAACATGGTATGATGATGTTTGTATGTTTGCTGTATATACAATGATCTGAGTACCAATTCTTGAATTCTGGCGAGGTTTGACCTCTTCTTCGCCATCTACAAAGTTACATTCAGTCAGTCGGTTTCTCACCTAGGAGCCTATTTTTGCAGAAAATTGACACAAATTAGCTTATATCGTGACAGAAATGTGTTAATGATGGTAGCTTTCCAGCAGACCAGTCAGGATACAAAGATTATAATCCACAATACTAAGTGACTGAACGGGAAGAGTATTTGACTGAAGCTAAAGTACTTGCCTTTCATGTTTAGTTGATGTGTCAAAAGACAGCACATGCATTGAACTGATCTACATTATGTATGCTGGAAAAGCTTGCATAATGTACAAAGATGTCAAACAAAGGCCAGTCTAAGGATGTAATAACATAGCTAAATCAGGTCCACCTCCCTCTCTATTCCCACGTACTTCAGAGCATCTGCTTGGCTGTATCTGTGGGTGAAAAAATGAAGGTAACAGTTTTACAGAATAGAATTATAAAGATTTAAAAAAATGTGTGTAGGCCTTTTACTTTTAAAACATTAGAGAGTCACATAAAGCCAGTTACTGTACCTGTAGTCAAAGAAGAGCTCCTCCCCCTGCAGGATAGCTCGCTTGGCAAAGATTCCGATACGGTGGTCTCCATTAACCATCACAACTGCATTGTTGGTAAAAAACAAACAAACAAAAAAACATCACCAAACAGAAGTCCTCAGGAAAAACCCTGATTCCAAATTGCAAATGAAAACTCACCTTTAGCGTAGCAGTTGGGATTAACCGAATGATTTGCAAACCGTATTTTGTTCCCCTTTCTTGTAGCATCCACCACAAAATCTGCAGAGACAATATTCTAGTTCAGGGTTTTTGAAGGAGGGTTCAGTTAAAAGTTGTGTAACATAGTTTATATTTTGCCAGCCGAAGATAGATTTCCTGGATTCCTATTTTTATATAAATCTAGGTTTAAGCTCATCAAATCCAGTCTCAAACATTACGGTGATTTATGTAAGTGCTTTATCTAAACCCATCAAACTCTTGTTAAATTTTCGGTGGCAGGTCATTTATTGATAAAAGGAGGTAGAGGGAAATGAGCCACCAACGATCCTCCTATGTTAAACATGTACTAAGAGCATTAAGTGTTTAAAACCCCATTTAAACTATCCTCTTAAAAAGATCCTTGCCGATTTCGTACTGAGCTCAGTTAATCGTTCAGAGCTCGGTTCCTTCCATCACGCTAGCACGGTTCTTCGCCTCCTAGTGACGATCTAAAGTGCTACCGCTCTGCAGCATTGAAGGAGGGAATCAAGCTAATTAAAATGGCTTATGTTTGTTCGTTATGTTTGGTTATAATTGGGACATTTTGTTGTTTGGAGGGAGACAGGCAAAGAAGGCAGCCTTTGGTGAATTTACTTGACAGAGTCTGGTTTTGGGAAGTGGATACTCAAACGTTAGTTTATTCAGGGATCACAGATGCAGGAAAATAATGAAAGAGATTGAGGTTCATCACACTGCTAAGCAGAATCACCACTGGAAATTGTGTGGCACGGTAGGGAAGCTGGTATTTTTACGAATGTCTGAAATTTCATGATTATGGAGGCTGACTGTAAGGAGATGACGCGGTCTGCTCAAGTGCTCTTTGTTAGCTGAGAACTGAGCCTGAACTGAACTGCTCTGAGCCTACTGATGAAATAGTATCAGTTAAGCACGGTTTGGTTGTGTCTGGCACGGTCCGCTTCAGTTTGCATTCCATTTACAAGCAACAGTCATCTCGGTTACCGTGCTCGGACCGATCTCGACACAGTTTCAAAAGGATAGTGTACATGGGGCAATAGTAAAGGTAGCTGTATGACATCAGATATTTGTGTATAAAGCAAAACATTTAGTGATTTAATTTTTTTTTACTGACTGTGCATCGGTTAACCATTCTGTTTGATAACCAGTCTGAAAAGAATCACATAATTTGTTCCATTCATGTTTCAGACACGACAAACTGGTTAGTAGCACCCTGTTTTCAACCTCCTGTTTTATTTCTATATAATCATTGACTTCTGTATAAAAAAAACGTACAAAAAATGTTAAAGATAGTTTAAAATTCACAAACCTGCTTTTTGTACATATCACTATTTTAATGACAGCAGATTTGTGTAAGTAGGCTTGCACCTTAAAAAAATAAATCTAAAAAAGTATTTTTTTTCCCTAAAATAAGCTAATTTTTTTTCTTGAATTGAGGAGGTGAGTGAGGCATAGGTAATGGAACAAGACAAATTACATTTAAAATAATAAGAAAAAAAACATTTTCTTATTTCAACTTCATATTGCTAAATTATCTTATTTTAAGAGTAACATAATAATTCAATTGGCAAATCATCTTAAAATAGAATTAAGGGTAAATACACTTTATTCAAGACATTTTTTCTTATTTCTAGATCGTTTTTGCAGTGTGGGCCTTAGCTTGCCATTATGCTTAATGAAGATGCTGTGAGTCATATCTATTCAAAATAAGATATCAACTGCTTATTATCTTTAAAATGAATTTCAATTCAAACATCCGAAGCTTTCATTTCAAGCATTTCCTGATAAGCTTAAATAAAACGTCTGGTAGTTCATAGCAGCAAGAAAAGGGAAAACTTGCCATTGTTCAAATTGAAAAGGAAGCTTGACATGTATTTGTCATAGATCCTTCCCCGTCGGTCTGCCTCATCTTGAGAGATTAACTGCAGGCATAAGTGAAAAATATCTTTGTAAGAAGCTATTGTGAATAAAACATTTAAACAGAAATCTGATTAAACTGTTTGGACATGCCTCTCCGCAGTACTCAGAGATAAATTCATTCTTCTGCACAGGTTCCTTGATGAATGTTCCCCAACCAGCAACATCTGATGGAGCGAGTAGCAAGTGCTAAAAAAGAAGCGGTATTTTAAAGATTGTTTTCATGGTGCGCAACAGAATCCGATGTCATTAGTGTCGGGCTCCTAAATGAACCTTTTTGAGGCCTCTTTGGATGCTGCAGTTCTTACAGGAGACCACTTTGCTGTCCCAGTGGTCTGCGGCTCCACAGGTCATGCAGAGATCTGGGTCGCACTCTCTCACAGCCAGGTAGCACGGACACTGTTTGGTGTTACACTGGGTTTTGCAACGGCAACCTGGGAAACGGTTCTGGCCTGAAAACCATTTAAACACAAGGAAACCGTGACCAGGACAATCAGGAAACCAGATGGGCAAGCAGATCATTTTGGCCACTGGTAAAGTTTTTTTTTATCATTGTAACCTAAAAGGCCAATAAACAGCAAAAAATGTAAACCTAAAGAAGTCTTTTTTTCTTGAATTGAAGAGGCAAGTTATAAACTTTGCCAGTTAAACATCACAATTCACATTTAAAATAAGAAAACACAAAACAAAAAAACAATTGCATTGTCTTATTTCAGGAGCATATTATCCTAGGTAATTATCTTATTTTAAGAGTAAAAATACTAATTTCATTGGCAAATCATCTTAACCTTATTAACCTACTCAAATTAGGGGTAAATACACCTAATTTATGAAATTTTTAATTATTTCTAGCTTGTTTTTACAGTGTATGTGCATGTATATACAAATTTGTTGCATTCAGCATGTCTTGGGATCATGTGCCATGCATGCATTGCTCCTCCTTACATTTGTTATCCATGGCTAATATATATTTTTATATTTTTCTTCCTTTTTACTCAAATGCAGACTTGCATTTGTTGTGTTATTTTTTTTGTCATAAATGGAAAAAAGAAATATTGGCTTGGAAAATCAGTCCAAAAAAATCTGCAGCACATATATGGGGCTGGCTAGACTGATGTCAAAATAATCAGTATTGGCCATAATTTAAATGTATCTCTGCTGTTTAATTGTTTATTGAGAAAAACAGCAACTCTGTCTTTCACATAACTGAAACTGGATGCATTAAAGCGTCTAGATATGAAAAAGATGACTAACTTAGCATCCGAATGGGAAAGAAAAGCAGACTTTGTGGCAGTTGTTTTGATACATAACAGACCAGTCTGAGCATTTTACAAACTGCTGATCTAATGGGATTTTTAAGCACAATCATCCCCTGGGTCTATAAAAAATACAGCAAAGAAGAGAAAACATCCTGCAATCAGTTGTGAAGAAAAAAACCTTGTTGATATCAGAAGCAGATAAAGGTCCTACTGCCGTGTTTAGTCTCAACCATTGTGCCTTTGGACAAGACACTGTATGATGCCATTGTGCCAGTATGGACCAAATAATTTGGTTTCTACCAGTTTTAAAGGAACAAGAGTCTAATCCTGTGGTGGCAAGGTGCACCTGGTGAAGTGGCCAGAATCTATTACAGACACATTTTTGCAGACTTGTTGAAATACAGTTTTAAAGAGAGCAGCATAACACCCTCTGGGGAGGTGAAGAAAAACCTTAATCAACATTAAACTAAATATTCTGTTCAGCTGGGAAAACTGACCATAACAAGAGGCCCTGATGGATTTTTCTCTCTGCGGTGCTCTTTAATCCGCCATCCCTTCCCTCTCTGGGATTTATGTGTCAAGTTTTTTCAGACTGGAGGAGTTTGACTCATGCTGATGATGCTTTATATCAGGCACAGAGCCTATGACATCCCTTTGATTCCTCTCCAAGTCAATGGAGCACACACATGTGGGAAAGGGGGCTGCTTCCTGTTTGGCTTGGGCGCTTCTATGTACGGGAAAGGGCGGCGTAACATGGAAGAGGGAGGAGAGTGAACAAGTGAGGGGGAAAAAAAATCCTTCCAAGCCAGAGAAAGATGTTTCCTTCTTTTCATCTGTTGTAAGAGCTCATGAAGGAAAATTCCTCCACCATGCAAATTCCTCCACCATGTGGCCATTTCAGGGACAGTTCCTCTGGGCCTGTCCTCCTGTAGGGAAAGCCTGTGGCAAACACACAGCCATCTATCCCCCCAGAGAGGATAATTTCCATTCTGAACACTGCCAGAAAACTACAGGCATTTAAAAATGCCCCATTACTGCTATTAAATGTGCTTTTTATATAAAAAAAAATATTTTCACCTACAACTACGAATGACCTGGAAGAGACCAAACACAGTGACTGTTTGTGAAAGACCAAAAAAATAAAGGTGGATAGCAAAAGGTGATACTCACACTCATGTTCACACTGGCAAAACTTCTCACAAAAATTCTGGGTCATCACACAGGGGCAAGAGCTGTCACACGGATGGTCAGGGTGGTCACATGGCTGATAGTTGTACACCTGATTGGACGAGTTATCTGGAGCATCGTGGGGACAAAACAGAAAGACCAACACTACAAACTGTGCTCCTGAGCAAGGCGAAGTAATAATCATATCATAGGATTAATTTACCTTTCTTCAGCTGAATCTTTGCCCATAACCTGCAACAACAAACAATTAAAGGCACTTTTCAATAATTGGCTTTGCAGTCGATTACTCCTAAATGAGCACGAAGGGACAGCAGACGTATTGCATCAAGTAGTTGACTTTGCAGTCAACACTGAATGCATAGAGAATGCTGGTCATGTCGGTAGAAAGGAAAGACTTATTTAACAGGAAGGAACCCTCAGCAGACCTGGAGCCAGAGCCAGCGACTGATTCAGGGTTTCAAAACCTAATACAGTAACAAAACACAAAAGCAACAGTAGGAACTTTCCTTTGCTAAAAAAAAGGAGACTTGATGGCAAAAGTAGGTATTTTAGTGGCTTTACATACAACTAAATATATAATCTCTAAGCCAATAGTGAAACCTATGGCTAAAGGAGGAATAACTCAGTTTAACTGAGGAGGGAGACAGAGTTAAAACCAAGTGCATCATGGGTTATCTTACTCTTGGCTTTCTCTAGGGCAGAGGTCGGCGACCCAAACTGTTCAAAGAGACATATTGAACCGAATAAACAATGTCTAGAGCAGCAAAAATGTAAGTCTTATATAACCATTATATGGAAACACGGGCGCTAAGTGAATTAGGACACTATAAAAAAAGACTACATGGGCTTAAATATATAATAATCATTGATGATTAAATGTTAATCCTGGAGCAAATGTCATTTCATGTGACTACTCTCTCTGCTGTACAATATTTGGTGCTTTAAGTTTAAATTCCATAACAAATATGTTTTGTTGAATTGATAAAATTATAGAAAAATAATAAACAAATCAGTTATTTGGTGTTATTTCTATTTTGAGGATTTGGGGAAAAATGGAAGAAAATGTACATCCCTGCATCAGAGCACTACCTGTTTGATCTGTGGACGGTTTTCCATGGTTGCAAGAAAACTAGCTGCAGTAGTTGAGTTTGGAGATGCAGTCCACTTCTTAATTCTATCTTTGCTCTCCTCTAATTTATCCAAAAGTTCTGCAATCACAATTTTTTCTCTCACTCCCAACTTGGTGGTCGGCTACATATTTAACATGCCTTCCCTGAAAATGTCTTTCCCAATAACTCTGTTTATTATTTGCCAGCTTCTCATTACAAAGCTAACATGCAGGCAAACCTTCCGCATTGGTAATGAAAGCAAATGATTCAGGACATTCTTTTTTTAATCATCAGCTATTTTCCTTTTTTTTTTCCCCTTTAAGATCCATGGCTTGAGACACACCCGCCGCTTTGCTTACAACAGCCACTTGCCAGGCACAGCGCCGCGCTGAAAGGTGTGTTGCAGGCTATGACGCAAATCTTCTTTGACAGAAATGTTTACATTTATTGTTTAAATTAATTTATAAGACATTTTTTTACAGCATTGGAAAAAAATATTACTGTTCTTTTGGCCTCATGCACACCAAAACTAACAAAAAACCCCCCACCTTTTTCCATTTTCATTTTTCAAGCTCCAGGGTTGCCGACCCCTGCTCTAGTGCTGTCAAACCAAACAGGGTTATCTATCTTGTTGAATTGTTTATCTGTTTTCCAAGTATATTTAACTCCATCTCCCCCAATTATAGAAAATGGAAATAAAGGACATTTGTGTAGAGTAAACACAGACTGGTTGAAACCTTGGTACGAACACAGTTCCAAGGCGCTGTGGGAATAACAGCTGATTACTTGCCTGTGTTTCCTTTTCTTCTTCTGGGGCGAGATGCCTCCATCTACTAAAGGAACACGGTGGATCAGAACCTCTTTTGCTGCAAACTCATAGACCTGGTGGAAAGGTCAATAACAGCCGTTTTAACCAGAAATCAGTCACTAAGTACACAAACAACTTTGTCCTTATAGCAATGATATGCGCAAACTCCATTTATCAGCTTTATTCCATCTACTGCTTTCAAAACTAGAGCGCAGAGACCAAAATCATGAGTATATCTGTACACACACTGACACACAAACCACCTCTGGTTGCCAAAACTCAGATTTGGCCTCTTCCCCAGTACACATACATACATAATGCCGCAGCTGGCTTTAGCATTCTAAATGAGTGAGAAAGTGGGTGGGACTTTCTGGATATTAGCAGGGTTGTGACAGCCCAATACTAAATCTGTTGCTTTTAGACAAGAAAATGGGCCTAAAAGGTGGAATATAAAATAAAGAGACTTGATCAATATACTGTTATAGAGAGTACTAATAAAACTAACACTAAAATGACTCCATATCTGGCTTCTTTGCAGACTTGCATCATACTGAACTATGAGAAATGTCACATCTGGTACAAATCCTTGTTTATGGGGCCACATGCCATACAGCCTAATTAGCAACGCCATGAAACCGCAGGCTCAATAAGCATGTGTCATTACACAGGAACTGATGCAAGCCCACACCCCCTCAAAAACAAACCAGGAATACGGTTTCTACTTTATAACTAAACAACCATGTGTCAAACTGAGATAACATAAAAAGAAGGTCTCTTTGGTAATTACCATTAAACAAAAGGTGTTAGATGGTAGTATATTATTTTGTTACATGTTTAATGGCTTATTTCATGTACGCTTGTTCTGCTAGAACGTCTGTTATGGGCTTTATAAATAGATCAAGGTGGAGCTCAGTTAAGATGATGTTCTTTGCCTTAACTTCAGCTGAATCCAGTAACTCTGAGCTACAAACAGTAAGCTGCTACTTTTCTTTACAATGTGAATTTGCCCAATTTTAAACTTACCCAGGATGCATTTATGTGAAAAGCAGGACACTATACAACAGCTTTTTTTCATGTTTTAATACCTGTTTATCTAAGGTGAATCTTAATTCTAATAAAAATATTCTGTTAAAAACACAAAGTGGAAAAAAAGCTGAAAAATGCTTCTAAAATACATTTTCTAAAGAAAAATAAATGCATTTTTCTGTTCCTGTTTAAGTGTAGTAAAGAACTAAATGTCTGTTGGAGTTTTCTAATTAGTGCATTTTAGTACTTTTACCTGTTTGCAGTTCTTGGTACCAATAAGACGTGCGATGGAACAGAAGTTGTTAAAGTATGTGCCATGCAGCACCCTGAAGAGGGACTCCTCAGCTCCACTCCACTGGACCACACAGCACTCCTGCTGCTCAGCCTCATCCTCCCCTGGGCGCAGCTTGATTGGTGTCTGACAGCGAGAATTCCCCTCTTTTTCAGACGCAAAGAGAAAAAAAGGGATTTATCACAAAAAAGAAAAAAAAAAGTTTCAATCTTTTTAACTGTTACTTCTAGAATTTTTGGATGATATATCAAACACAGATGTTTAAAGCTTGGGACACAGTTTTATAATTCAGTTTCCTGAAATGTCTGGTGCCTTTTTTTGTTCTTTATAATCCTGTTAGTTCACTACACTGAAGAAATGATCTAGAAATAAGTCAATATTTCTTTGATTAAGTGTATTTAGCAATTATTTGAGCATGTCAATAAGATACTCTGCCAATGGAATTGGTATTTTTACTCTTAAAATTAGATAATTAGATAATATGCACTGAAAATAAGACAATGCAATGTTTTTTTTTTCCTATTTAAATGTAAATTGTCTTGTTCCATTGGCAAAGTGTCTCACTTACCTCCTCAATTCAAGAAAAAAAAAAAATCACTTTTTTTAAGAAAATATGACCCATCTAGATTTCTATTTTTTCCACTGTGATGTTCTATAATGCACTTCTGAGGCCATCATAGAGCAGCTGGATTTGGAATAACATCAGATTAAGCACAGGGGGACTATCAGAAACTGTTAATTGCCATTTCTAAAATTGTTTTGTTGTAATCCTATAGACACGCTCATATTTGAAGGAGGGTCTTGAATATTCAAAACTGATTCTTTTCCTTTCCAGAGGACAAGGCAGAGAGAGGTGAATGTTGCCTGGCAACAGGCTGGGTGGCTCTGTGCTATGGCCACATGCTCTACCTTCTTCATGCTCTGTGTCAGTCTGCTCAACAGTCTGATTTTCCACATTATCTTTACACGTGTGAGAAAGTCTGCTGAGTCACCGGCTAAGCACAGGCAGTTTCCGGCACTGGTTTCAAGAACGGTGCTGATGGAAATACAGATGAGATATGCAGGGTGAAAAGAAGACAAAAAGCCAGCGGAAAGTTCTCATATTTCGCTCTTTCTGCTCTCTACATTAGCATGTAAGCAGAAATAAAAAGAAGGGAGAAAAGCAAGAAGAGGAATGGAAAGGCAAGGTTTATGCAGAGTTATTCATGCAGAAAAAGTGGTTTATTTTATTTGGCAAAGGAGAGTTGATATTGGGAGAAGATCTGAGAGGGGAAAGCAGGATATGGCTTAAACGCTTTGATCTGCAGCCAAATGTTGCCTTTTTCATACAGGAAGCTGCGGGTGAGGTAACACAGTCATGTAGAAGGCAGGAAAATAGAGGAAGGTTATGGTAAATGATGCATCTAGTCTATGATTTCTGAAAACAAATTGTGTTTGAGCTTTGCAGAGTCCACCCAAGAGGAAACTCTAACTTCAAACACATTACAACATTTATATTGCAGAGACTGAAACTTCTAGGATTATTTAATTTTTTTGAAACAAAACAAACATCTTTTAGCTACAAATAATGTAATACCTGAGGAAGAGGTGGTTTCATGGTCACTTTCACCCTCCTTGCTTTCCTCAGCAGACCCAGTTGTTCCAGAACCTGTGGCGCTGGCGGGTCGCTGCTGCCTCCGTCGCCTGCGAGATCTCTGCGATCTTAACATATTCCGATCCACAAACTCTTTAGCTCCTTTCTGCATTAATGAAGGGTTGATAGGAAAAAACCCCGTAAGTGTTGAGTAATAGAAATGCTTTCTGAGTACAGAGCCCATGGCTTGGGTATACCTGACGCAGGAAACAGTCGTCGCCACACGGTTCAGTCTCCATGCGGATCTCCTTACTCTTCCTCTTGTAAACGTTGGGTGTTGCATGAAAAGCTTCATGAACAGAGACAAAGTATTCTCACTACCTGCTGCACAAATTTTAACATTCAATGTAAATATAATAAAATATTGCAACAACATTATATCTATCTGGGTCTTGAATGAAGCAAAGAAAGGGCTATTACGGTGAAGAAAACAGTCGTATTTGAAGCAACGTCTACAGAAGAGAGTATGGAAGGAATGCAACGACTGCTCCCTCTGCACAGACTTTGCAAAAGGTCCATCTAGGTTTGGGGTGCAGAGAGGGGGAAGCTTAACGGGGCCCGGTGGCTCTTGCAGATCCTTGTACCTGTGAAGAATGCGGGAAAAACATGTCAAATGTATTTTATTGGGAAATGATTTCACAGTAAGGTGGAAAAGTATTTGCTGCTCTAGAAATATCTCATTTAAATATTTCACACAATCAAACAGATTTGATATTACAAATAGGTAAACTAAGTAAATACAAAGAGCAGACTTTTTCAAAGGAAAAATATGGTCCAAAGCAACCTTATGCCATGTAAAAGCAGAGATGTTCCCCTTGTTAAATGAGTTGATTAATGGTGATTAACCACAATTTTTGGTTTCAGTATTAATGTACAGATTCAAGTCTAATTAGTGGATGGCCAGCAATATGAAGAAATCACTCAAACAGAGCCTGATCAGCAACTTGAAGTTGGCCAAAAAAAAATAATCTAAAAAACCAATGCATCATGTCTTGATCTAAACAATTTAGAGAGCAGTTGAGAAACATCGTCATTAGAATGTATCAGTCTTAAAAAGGTTTTAATAAAAGAGACAGTCATCCTGTAGGACTGAAAATAACCCAAAACATCTAAACCCCTGCCGGCTCCACCTGCTTAAAATAAAATTATTAGAAATGATTAAACAAAAAAATTAAACAAAGAGATGCTAGAAAAGACATTGTGTGATAAAGTTCATGGGTAAAATTTGAGCAGACAAAATAAAAGAAGATATGTCCAATTCCATCAGGTATAAAACTCACCCAACATTTAATAAAACTGCATTATTTGATTAGAAAGCTTGGCAGAAGGGTCAGAAAAATATATTCTACTCTGCTGAAAACAAACGTTTGGTCATTTTTTAATGTATGGTTGAACTTTGGGAGCCTAAGTTGTGGTTAAACTTTAGTTAAACTTTAGGACAATAATCTAAAACTCAATACCAATCCCGCTCAGAAGGTTTCATTAAAAACAATACATGAAAAAACCCCAAAAAGGTCTGGAAATGGCCTATTCAAAGTCTTGATTCAAGCACTTAGTGGAAACTAGGTGAATGAAAATTCCCCATAGAGTGTCATATGTCTCTGGATATCTTTATACAAGATGAAATTATTATTTAAAAAAACAAAAATATTAATTTTCTATATTAGATTAATCAATCTGTTTGATGATTAAACAAAGTGCAATGTTTAGACATATATCAGGCTGTCATACGGTGTCAAAACTCTTTCATATGACTAGAAGTAACACAAGAAACAATAAAAATAATAATAATTTGAATACAGAAGACTTTTCTGTAGATGTTTCTTTCTAAATGTTGAAACTCTTTCAGATCTTGTTGCAAATACACTTTTGAGTAGGAGAGCCAGAGAGGAACCCAGCATTCTTAATTCACCTCTAGCTGCTTACATCTCCATGGTGAACGCTAAGCAACAGACTAATGATCACGGTGCAAACAGATCCCCTTTACTACACTTTTCTTACTTTTCTTTCAGCTCCTCTGTAGTGCCCTTGTAGGGGAACATTGAGGCGATGGCTGTAAATATCTTATCGTTGGGGATCCTCTTGTTGCTGGACACATCCTTCACTTTTGAGAAACAAAGCAAGTCGTGTTACACAAGAGATCCTGATGTGACCAAACATCAGGTTTTGATACAGATACACAAACACACATTATGCAACTTGTACGTTTACACATTTTGCAATAAGACTGTTAATTTTTTCCAAATCTCATGGGCAGTCAGTAATAATAAAGTTGTTCTTAACAGATGTACTTCTCTTTTTTTGTTGTATCTTTGTACATTTCTAATGGATTCAGTGTAAGCAAAGTGTGCAGCCTCCACTTAATCCAAACACAGCTCTGTAATAGGAGTCAGGCCATATCAGTGTCATGAACAAACAAGTTCCCTCAAACAAGGGAAAACAAGGGCAGCTTTAATGCAACAATGCCAGTTCAAGAGCTGCTGTGGCAGGGCGACCTTGTGGCAGCTGCAGTGTAGGAAAGAAGAACAGTATGTGCCTTGTTCACGCTGAAGCACTCCAAACACAGAGACTCACCCTCACTGGTGCCTCTCCTTTTTCTCTTGATTAATGTTCCAGCTTTAGTCTCTTCTGAGCCTTCCACCGAGCTCCTCCTCATCATCCTCTCTTCTTCTTTCTTCCCCATGAGCTCTGCTGCTGTCACTCCTCCCTCCTCCTCTTCGTCTTCCTCATGGTCAGAGTATTGGCTCAAGGCATCAACAAGCTCTTTAAAGATCTCGTCGCTTATGAACCCACCCTCTGCAATAAAAAAAACATAACATGAAAACACAAAAACCATCAAAGTTGTTCTTTAAAACATCTTAAAATTAGACTTCTACTACGAAATTCAGATAAATTTTACCTACAATTTATGTAGTACTACTATGACAACCACAAAATTTTTTGGTTGATAAGCCAATGCAAAGTGTTAATATTTAAAAAATATATATTTATATTTATAGGTAAGTATATATATTTATATGAATAAATATATATATATAGAGAGACAGATAGATAAAATAAACAGCACATTACTGTGTAATATACTCAAGAAATCTGATGCATTTTAATGCATAATTAATGCAATCTAACAACTACAGTTATGAAGTTTTACAATGCAAATTTTACCAATAATTTATCTATAATTTTATTAAATTTACAGGGGATTACAGGTTTGAGCTTCAATAGAATTGAATGAGAAATCGCCACTGATATAAAAATATATATAAAGAATTATTTTGCAAAAACAGATAAAAGTCATCTTTGAAAAAAAAAATAAATTTGGCAAAAATTTTTTTTTTTTGCATAGCACTAATAAAACGTTTTTGTTTGCTGTTGAAAATGTTTAAAAAAAAATCAGAGTTATCTTTTTTTGCAAAAAAGGCCGATGGTCAGTATTGAGGGACTCACAGCTAAGTGGTAGCGGCTGTTGACAGTTCAACTATTTGTTTTGCATTCAAGTAATTTTACTCTAATTGAAACCAATAATAATAATCTCAATTGTGGGTTTTGAAAAGATACGTAAAGCATCTCCAGAACACTTGTGGAGTTGGTGCTCTCCTCATCTTTGGCCTACATATAAAAGTCTTTATATTACAGAAAACTAACAGCACATAGAACCATACTGTAATTCCAACATCATCTCCATCCTAAAACACAGCGTTGGCAGGATCGCTCTACATACAGGGAAATTCTGAGAGAGAATTGGTAGAAGCTGGTTACAAGCTGGGGTGGAGGATAAACAAACACCTGAGCTACAATGGGAACGTTTGGAAGAAAGCTTATTCATGTGTTAAACACAGACGTTCAAAGTCATTATTGAAATCAAACGATGAATCAGCTACTCTAAAAAGTAAAATTTCAGTCTCTTCAGGTGCAAAGCTGATAAGACACAAACCCCCAAAAATATCCTACTGTGATTATGAACCATGGATATGAGTCACAGGAAATAAAAGCACTTTTAAGGCACTGTTTATTACTTTATACCTCTGTCACCATGAACGCCATCATAGTTGTCAATGAGCTCTTCCAAAAAGGCCTCATCCTGTTCAAGCACCTCATCACCCATGTAAGGGATGTTGTGGAGGAAGGTCTCATCCTCCACCTAGAAAACAAAAAAACTCTTATAATATAATGTGAAACACTATTTGAAGCTCCATTCAACACAGTGACTTGAGATATTTCCAAGTGCTTCAAAATGAGGAAAATGATATATTATTCACAAAAACAGATGAAGAGAGACCACAAAACTAACAACACTGGTAAGAGGGTGTATCTTACCATGAAGTTGTGCTGCAGTGGTGACCATGAGTACATAAAGGGGATCCCTGCTACTGTAGACAGAGGCTTCATGGCAACGGCCTGAGAATTGAATTCTGGGAAGCCAAACTCCACGGTACACATCTAGAGGAGGAGCAGAGGTGAGCTACAGAGGACCCTACTCTGAAGACATCCTTTAAATAATTATAAGCTATTGCTGTTCCATCTCAGACAGAGAAAATAGATAAAATGCTATGAAAAAACACTTTTGCAATATAATCTCCTTAAGATAATCAGTTTCCTCTTTTACTGTCTGATTTGGTTGCCTTAAGATTTATAGTTTTTACTTACACGCAGAATATAAAGCTGGATTTTTTAATACATTTTACTAATGATCAATCACTTTTAAACAGAGAGCATACCTTCTTGTTTGCCAGAGATCCACTAAACGTTGAGACAGGAACAGCCTGAATCCTGAGCTTGGACCACTCTGTGTTTAGGAGATTAGTCTGCAGCTCAATCTTCTCCCTGTTGGACGTGAACAAGCTCTGGAAACAAACACATAAAGACCAAAGTGTGTAAAACACAAATAAAGGCCATAAACCACATATAAACACAACAATGTTTTTTTCAATAGACATGGACTTAGATAGATATATTTGATGTGTTAAACAAATGGTTTAACCCACCTTTACTTTATCAACTTTTTTAAGACGTTTTTGCTGGCGAAGGCGCATATACTCAGACTTGACCCTCCTTCTCCACTCCAGCAGACTGCGGGAAGGGGTGAAGGAGCCAGGCTGCGGCTTTGGGGTTGATGGGACGGCACTGGTGCCAGAGGCCAGGGCTGCAGCAGCTGTTTCTTCCATTATTCCTTAAAAGGTCAAAAAGTTATTTCAGCAAGGAGGTTGAACCTGGTAGTAGATTCAAATTCCATATTGTTGGTCGGTCACCTGACCTTCAAAATAAAATCACTATTTTAGATTTTGCTGTAGTTTTGGGAGTTACTCCAGTTAATTTCAGTTTCAGTTAATTTGATCTTATTCTCTTATGTAAATACTCTTTACAAGCTAAACAGGATTCATAAAAGATAATTTAGGTTTGGAACATTTCTTAAACCTAATGTTACAGTGCTTTATCCCTTCCAAAATCAATGTTTTGTGGGAACACAAACTTGCTTCAAAGTTTATTCGCCCCAAAACTGCTAGCATCAGATTAAAAAAGAAAACAAAGATTTTCTGAATCAATCAAGGGTCCAGCATGAAGAGAACACTGGGACCCCACTCTCACTGCCCAGAAAAAAAATGTATTTAGCAGCATGTTGACAGAGTGGACCTTCAAGTAAGACAAGAATTTACAGATTCCCAGGTGGACAAACCAAACGGCTTCCAGGCAAACCTATATTTGCATAACAAAACAAAAACAAAAACAGAGAGAACAGGAAAGAAAGAGTTGGACCAGCCAGGGTAAAACCCTTCCAACCTAAGAACACTGTAGCAGCTGTTAAGCATGGTGGAGGTAGAATCATGTTGAGGGTCTGTTTA